CCGACAAAGTGTTTCGAGTTGTGCTTTACGTTCGAATGTGACCCGCCTTTTCGCTGACATCTTTACTTCGCTGCACGCTATTTTTAGCGATAAAAGTCACAGGGTAAAGAAGTTGAAGAAGAAAATTCCGTCAAAGTAAGAAGTTGTTCGTCGTAAAACTACTTAAATCCTCTCAAATCTGCTCCTTTTCGTTTCTCCATCCCCGGGAAATGAAAATATCACATTCTGATTATCCGTTTAAAACCGAATTTACTGTGCCAACGGCGATAAGAGCGGAGATCACTCGCCAGTTTCGACCTCCTTTTGTCGATCGCCAGGACCGTAATTTATACCTATAAATACTTAATGTGAATAAGGGCCACGGGACAAGGACAATGACACAAAGATTACGGGCGTTTTACTGTGAACAACACAGTGGTTCATATTCTAAATTGGTAATCACTGAAATCAATAAAAAAAAATACGTATTCATCAGAGAAAGAAAACCATAACGATTGCAAAAACATAACTAAATTGTATCTCCCTCGTAAATTTTCAAAAACTTATGTATAGCGGGCGAATTTAAAATAAATTATGGTTTCCAACAATCAATTTCCAACGAAAAATAAGCTTAAACTTCCACTTCCGCAATTACGGAAGTTCTGCATACATCTGCATTTAGTTCCGCATTTTTATAACAGAAGCTTATCAAAACTTAACAAATTTCACATCTCTTCGAAAATCAATAAATCGCAAAAATTTACTATTTACTTCTGTTTCCGCTTCTATTTCCGTTATGATCCTTCCGCTGCATCACTAATCCGTCAGTTACAAAGAAAGTAGTTGAGTAACTACTACATTTTTATTGAAACAGCTACCACTGTACGTACCATCCCGAATTGTAGTTACAAAGGTAACATAAGCCCAACTAATAAAACTTTAATCACAAGGCGAACCAAACGAGAGACCCATTCAACACAATACCCGCTAAGGAAAACAGTAGTTAAGGCGTACATGGAGCCAGAACAAAGCTGGTTATAATTTATTCATTAAGAGTTATAATGCGTCTGGCATATCGTTGGCGGTAGGACCATCGCGCTGCTTAGCGTAGCTTTTACCACGGCGAGGAGGACTACGGGCGTCGGTAGCGTCGGTGGCCACACAATACCGCCGTCGTTTTTACGGGCGGCCAAACAAGAAGTGCGGGAATGAACAATGGCATTCCGGAAAGGAAACTGCGCGTCCTGTTGTACGTATATATATATATGTATATATGCGCCGTTGAATACGGAATGATAAATGATTTGCATACTCCCTTAGTTAAATTAGGCGCAATCGGATGGCCATACAAATAATATAGAGATTCATCAAAAGGCGCTGTCACAGCTGACTACCGTTCCAAAGCTTGTCCGGAACTTGAAAAGAAAATTGCGGCTTTGACGGGTTGCCTGCTGCTTTGTTAAGAGAAAGCTAATTGGAATTATCACTACAAAACATTATCGATAATTGATAAGTCATAAGATGTATAGACGTTCAGGAAATGTTTAAGGACTCTGAAATGGTACCTTGCAGGTGGCGCTTTGATTTAGTCTTATTCCCTAATGTCTACGAAAAACTTCAGTATCACCCAAAATTAAATTTTCTCATTTCAAGAGGATACGGGTGAACTAACGGTAGAAGAATTTTTGCGATATCTCTAATAGTTCGCCAGATATGGTCCCCTAAACTTTTAATTTTCCATTTCGATTATAACGGTACTCCAAAACTTTCAACAGCCGTAACTCTGAAACGGCACTTCGCAGGTGGGCGCTTTTGATCTCGTCTCATTCTTCAAAGTCTCTAGAAAATTTTAGTGTCACCCTTATCGAAATCGGGCTGTTCAATCCGAAAATATGGGCCGCACTGTGGACTGAAGAAAACGATAAAACGAAGGTGAGGGTAAATTTCGTGAATTGGGTGGGCCATACCGCAGACCAGGACAGACAGATTTGATAACTCCTTCCTCTAAAAATTGACCACATTTCTTAGGCTTCGAATGAGCCCTGTTTGGTACATATAGGGCGTTGGGCGTTGGGTCGGAGCTACGAGTTTTCAAGTGCGGTCTTGTTTGTAAGCTCGCAATTTCTCAATTTGCACTTGCGAAGCTTGTAGCTGATAAACGGGAGGTCCTTTCGGAAAAATTCTTTCACAGGCGGATGTCCCGTATCGGTAAGAATGTCGTAGGATGTCTGCGGCCGCATTCGGTGTCGATAAAAAATTCAAAATTTTGAAAAATTTTGGAATTTGTTTTCCTTCAAAATTAACTTTTTTCGATTCAAGATGACACAGGTGAACTGCTGGTGGAATAATTTTTGCGATATTTCTAATAGTTCGCCAGATATTGTCGCCTAAAATTTTAACTTTCCATTCGATTATAATGGTACCTACTCGAAAACTTTCAACAGCCGTAACTCTGAAACGGCACTTCGCAGGTGGGCGCTTTTGATCTCGTCTCATTCTTCAAGGTCTCTAGAAAATTTTAGTGTCACCTTTATCGAAATCGGGCTGTTCAATCCGAAAATATGGGCAGCACCGTAGGCTCAGGAAAACGATATAACGAAGGTGAGGTTAAATTCCATTAATAGGGTGGGTCATACCGCAGAGCAGGACAGTCAGATTTGATAATTCCTTCCTCTAGAAATTGACCACATTCCTTGGGCTTCGAACAAGCCCTGTTTGCTGCATATAGGGCATCGGGCCGCGAAGCTACAAATTTTCAAGTGCGGTCTTGTTTGTAAGCTCGCAATTTCTCAATTTGCACTTGCGAAGCCTGTAGCTAACAAATGGGTGGTCTTTTCGGAAAAATTCTTTCACAGGCGGATGTCCCATATCGGAACGAATGTCGTAGGATGTTTGCGGCCGCATTCGGTGCCGATAAAAAATTCAAAATTTTGAAAAATTGTGGAATTTATTTTTCTCCAAAATTAACTCTTCTCGATTCGAGATGATACGGGTGAGCAGTTTTTGACTGTTTGACTTACTGCAAATTAAAATCAAATGCAAGAATTAAGCTGAAACCGTGGTAATTTTGTTCCCTTCGGAGAAAAATGTAGTATTTTTCGATAAAAAATCAACACTATGATCTTAACATACATAGTTCCATTCACGAATGAGAGAGACCTGTTAGAACTATAATAGGGCACTCCTTTGATCACAGTTTCAAGATTTCAAAGTCAAGACCAAGTTTGATCATCATTTCAAAAACATCTAACGTTTCTAGATCTATCTTTGCCTCCAATACAATTTTAATTTACAACTAAATCAATGAGTGCAGTGATATTGTGCAATTTGTAATGAAAATACCTCGTTGACGTACATATTTTGAATCACTACCATTAAAATTAACTGATGTTGGATGCTGAAACGTTATAGAATTATAGCCAAGTTCTGAAATTGTCATTTGCGCCATGTGTTAACGTTTAATTTAGGAAGTTGAACGGAGTACATGAATTTTCGAGTCGATGTAAATTCCATGAGGAACCCCGCGAAATTAGGATTCCTGACGAGGTGAGACGTCAGCGTGACAACACAATAGTCGGATGAACTTTATAATTCAAGAATGCATGTTAAAGATAAATCTAATATATGTAGGGGTAGGTGTAAATTGGTATGTAAACATAAATTTTATTATTCTGTTATGCAACAACTAATTTACTTGTATAACTAATATATAATATGAGTTTCTCGTGCTTCAATTATCAAAAAACGAAAATTAAATTTGATAAGTTAAGAATAATGAAAATTTAGTATCACGAAAATGCATATCTACGCTTTAAAAGTGTGGCACGGTAAAAACCGATCGACAGTTAGAGAATCTAAAGTTTTAACTTTTTATTTTTCTATAACCAAGTTTGACGTGTTTTATGTAGGTCTTTCTGATCCCCTGAAATTCTCGGAAACTTTTATGTTCTTCGCTGCAGTTCGTATTTCCATTAAGGAAATGATTGACGCATTTAAATGGTTTCAGAAAAACGTTTTTTAATGGGACAAGCGACGTGGAAAAAGGGAAGAAAACGTCGACACCACGAACAACAACAGTTAAAGAGTTGGAATCATTCGTCACAAAATTGTATGTTGTTATAAAGACAACCAAAAAGCTTTAAAATCAAAACAGATGTTGAAAGCTCTCAGAATTTAATAAGTGACAGCGAGATTTATTTGAAGGGAAAAATTAATATTTTAATTTATTTAATCAAGGCTTAAAAAATAATCTAACACATGAAAGTATAGAGGAAGCTATAAGTTAATTGATGTATGCAGTTATCCAATTGAACATTTAATCCATTTGATTGAAAATTACTTCGTCTCAAGTTACGATTATGTATCGGTAGCACCCTCTGTCGGGATTTCCCCCAACTAAAAGGAAATTTGGAAATTATTTCTTGTCTCAAGTTACGATTATGTATCAGCAGCACCCTCTGTCGGAATTTTCCCCAACTAATAGGAAATTTAGAAATTATTTCTTGTCTCGTTTATATTTTAAAAAAAAAGTGACCATTATGTATCAACCGCTCCTTCTGTCGGGATTTTCCCCAACTAAAAGGAAATTGTGTTAGGCTACTGTTTAAAAAGTCTATTTTCTTCGTAAAAAAACTATTCTCTATCTAAGTCTAAAGTCAATATCATAAAATACACTTTAATGGCAAGCACAAAGGTTTGGCATTAGTTTGTTACGTTTTAGAGATTATTGAAAAGGAAGTTTCATGTAATGAAAATGGGGTGGTAAGAAAGCTGTTGGCAGCTGTTTGTCATTATTGATTACCCCTTTTAGTAACAGGGGTGAGTTCCAGATGTCGCAAACGTCAGTATAAAATACTATGTTTTAACTTTGATAATACATCTACCACATTTAATGTACAAAACTATTAAAAACAGATTTATTTTTATTTCCAAGTGGTTCTCCGAGATCATGCGAACTTTTTTTGCAATTTTTTTTTGTAATGATGGACTTTAAGGGTTGGCACTTTAATAGAAAGTCGATAAACTTAGTATAAAATTTATTTACTACAAATAACAGTCTTTTGGCTTCATCCTTAACCTAATCAAGCGGGTCTTATAAAGACAAATAAGTAAGTAAATTTTGTATGACTGATGCAGAATTATCCGCAAAAATACTGTAAGATACATCGCACTTCACAATAAAGATGAACCTGATATTAATAACGTCTCGCACAACATACCAATAATGTCAATTTCATTTTAGGTAATTACTAGGCTTTTAGGAATCCCTCTTCGCGACGTTCTGCTTATTACTTCTTCAATATTAACTCAAAACGGATTTCCACTAATAATAATGCAAATAATTATCTGCTACAGTTGTTATGAAGGTAGTTTGAGTTTCTGAAATAAAAAGTTTATAATTATCTACCTATAATATTGTAATAATAAATTATTTGCCTTTTGTACAACATCAAAGTTAGACTAATTGTTGTATAATCCCAAAATTAAGTTCAGAACTACACAAGACTATGGCTTCTGATTTCATTCGTTCATTAATCAAGACTATTTTCAATTTATTTGATTGGATTATAGATATTTGTATCACTCTCGTAATTTTATAATTGATACACTTACCACAAAGTCCATAGTATTTATGTGAATTAGACATTCCAAAGCTGTAACAGGATGGTTGGCCAGTTTTGTAAGGCTGCTGCCTGAGTACGTTGCCACTGTAAAAGGATTTAATAATTTGATAAGTTTTATCGACTTTTACAAAGAAAGTTTACCTCGGTCCATAGTTACAAACGTAGCTCTTGACGAATCCCTTGCCCGGTTCGAAATAGAACGCGTAACCGCACCCTACCAAATACGTTTCAGCCCAAATCATCTAGAAGAAATAAACAGTTAGCAATTATCATAAATTATTCCTGTATCTTCAGAGCAGTTACTGACCTGCGTGTAGTGTCCAATTAGGTCATTAACGAAGTTTAGTGGCCCGTAGCGGAAGTTTTTGAATTCTCCGAACCATTTGTTTTTAATAATATCTTCAAAGTCCGGCTCTGTTTCATACGCACTCTCTGGCGGCTTCGTAGTCCACGTCCTCGCTACGTTTTGACCCACGGGAAACCTGGCTAATATAGATTGAAAAAAACGGTTAGACCAATCGGAAAACAGTGTTCATTTCTGGTAATTCAAAACTCACCAACATGTCGATGATGATCATGATGGTATGTTTTGCATGTAGTTGCCCATTGTTGAGCTTTGTAAGCTAACTCGTCGTCCCATTTCTAGAATAAAGGATTTCAAATACGTGTAGATAATTCAGAAGTGTATTTTTTATTACTTACTTATAATAAATGTAAAAATACTGGTATGGAAGGGAAGAAAAAGCGAATGTAAAGATAGGAGACGAAAGATTAGAAGAAGTGGCTGATTTTAGGTATCTAGGAAGTCAGATAAGTTAGGACGGAAGGAGTACTAGGGATGTAAAGGGTCGAGTCGCCTTCAATAAAAAGAAGTCACTCCTATGCTCGCGAACGATTAATTTAGAAATTCGAAAGAATATTAGGGAAATGTGAACATTAGCTCAGGATAGGAAGGAATGGAGAAGAATGTCCAACCATACTGACGCCCTTATGACGATGATGATGAAGATAATAAGTGTATTTATTATAAACAATTAGAAATAGCTTGATATGGATAAAACTATTAGGTAGGCGGTAAGTAAAGTTGGTGGCTATTTTTCACCGCCTTAAAAAAAAGGCCTTGTAAATATTAATCGAATAATAACTTTCAGTGAAATGACGGCTTTTTAAGACCAGACCATAAATGAAGACATAAAAAAGCATTTGCTGACGATTTATGGACGACGGAGTGAAAAAAGTAGCAGTTTAAACACCCATTACGGTGATTTATGTAAATAATTATGAACTGTAACAATTCTTTAGCCTTCTCAAGAAAAATTGCTTGCTCCTTTTATGCCACACTCCGATTCCACATCGATTTCGTTTACAAAAAGTTAAAAAAGTATATATAACACTTAAAATATAAAGAAGAAAGCACATATTTGTATTTGATTTGTTAATACGACTTATACGAGGGTGGATTGATAAGTTTCCGGCCTAACCAAGAGATGACGCCACTAGGCCTACCTTGAGGTGACATTCTATAGTACCATCCTTGGATAGCTTGTAGCTATAGTTTCAGCCCGATCTCCTTGCTAGTGTAGGTTTGACAGCACGCTGAACAAGACGCCTCTGTGGTTTTCGTAAAAATGGAAAAGCAGGAAAATCGTGCTGTCATCAAATACTTTTATTTGAAGGGGTTAACGCCGAAGGAAATTAAAAAAGAGATGGACTCAACACTGGGGACATCCTCCCCGTCATATTCAACCGTTAAGCAGTGGGTTTCCGAGTTTAAAAAGGGTCGTGTGAGCACCTCTGATGGGCCTCGCTCAGGACGCCCCGTTGAGGTCACAACTCCAGATATGATCGAAAAAATTCATCAAATAGTGCTGGGAGACCGCAGATTGAAAGTGCGTGAGATAGCTGAGACCTGTAAGATGTCATATGAACGTGTGCAACATATTTTGCACCAACATTTGCATATGGAAAAGCTCTGTGCAAGATGGGTGCCGCGTTTGCTAACAGTCGACCAAAAATTGATTCGAAAAAACATTTCTACCGCAAATTTGTCATTGTATAAGCGTAATCCAAGCGAATTTTTGCGTCGATTCGTAACCGTTGACGAAACGTGGGTCCACCACTACACTCCTGAAACCAAAGAACAGTCTAAACAGTGGATTGGACCAGGGGAACCAACTCCAAAGAAGGCAAAAACAATTTTTTCGGCGAACAAGGTTATGGCTACTGTTTTTTGGGATGCAAGAGGTATTATATACATTGATTACCTTGCAAAGGGTAATACTATCACTGGTCAATACTACGCAGACTTATTGCAACGTTTGAGCCACGAGGTGAAAATTAAACGACCTCATCTGGCGAAGAAAAAAATCTTGTTTCATCACGATAACGCACCAGCGCACACGTCAATCGTTGCGACGGCTAAAATCAACGATCTAAAGTTTGAATTGATGCCGCACCCTCCTTACTCTCCAGACCTAGCCCCGAGTGACTATTTTCTGTTCCCTAATCTCAAAAAATGGCTTGGCGGTAAGAGATTTGCGGACAATGAAGAAGTAATCGAAGCTGTAAATGGTTATTTTGAGGAGCTTGACGAATCAGTCTATAGAGATGGCATTAATAGACTGGAACACCGCTATGAGAAATGTATCAGCCTTGGAGGAGATTATGTTGAGAAATAAAAAAAAAAAATTTTTAAAAACCTTGTTTTTCTTGGTCAGGCCGGAAACTTATCAATCCACCCTCGTAGTAGTAGATTTATCGTAATTTTATTTGAAGATTAAACCGGTAGTTCGAGAGATTAGCAAGTGTTGAAGATGTCTTACCTAAACTGAAATAGAATGTAGGCCTTTTTGAGGCAATCGTTACAGTTAGAATTAAAAAGACAAGCATTACTTAACATTAGCTCTGAATACGTATAACAGCCGCGTAATCTTCACTTTTATACGATCCATATGCAAATAATGTTCATTACTATTCATTACTTCTAACCTATCTGACCTGTCCATACAACAGTTACCTCATTAGAAAACAGAAGTGTGAATGAAAATATGATGTAATTTTGTTTTACAAATTTCTGAAATGTAGTAAACGTGGAATCGTAAATTTAAAATAATGTTTCGTGCAAGTAGGTACCTAGGTAGATTGTGGGATTGTACGTATTATTAGTAGATACTGAAAATGATTATTTACCATTTCGAGCAAATTGGCTGCTTGGGGTTGTCCTCGAATTTGCCCCAAGGCTACGGATTGTCGCATACCATTATGAGTATTGAGTATGATTTGCTTTTCACGTTCTGTAACTCCGTTTGCTCCTGTAAATGAGAACAAGGAAATTATTACAAGAATAAGTAAGAAGTATGAAGTAGGTACTTTAATATACTATAGATAATTTGGAATAACACCACAATCGCAATAAAATGATAATAGGTATTGGTTTGAAAAAGGACGATATACTTAGGTGATTGATAATTTGAAACATTCCTTTAAAAGGAAAATCTAAAACTTTTTTTAAGTTTTGTTATTTCTAAATTTAAAAATTACAACTGCTATGACGTTAGTAAATATTTTATTGTTATGTATTGTTATTCTGTAAGTATATCTATTAAAGAAATGAAACCGCATATAAAATAGAGAATCTCATGTGTTTGTCTAAACGGCAGTCGTAATAAATAACAAAAAAGTTGCTATTAATCTATTAATTAAGCAGATTAATAATATATTATATCGACAAGCGAAAAACCGAACAAGAGGCAGCTAATAAAACATTTTAATGAAATTCTCGACGAATGCGGTATTTTCTTGGTTGTTTTTCGTGCATACTATCGTTGCTATCGGCGGAAAGTCCCGATAAGGGTGATGAATGACTTTTGAATGGCGTATAAATGTTAAGGAAAACGCTAAAGTATTATATTATTTGGATTACTTTTTCAACCAGTATACATAGTGCGAATTTATTATACAATAAAGAACTTTCAAAATGGATAAATTGACCTACCGCCTTTCACACATCTACGTGAAGAGAAACCATTCTAGTTTATTCAATTAATATTAACGGTTGATTAAATAGATAAATTGTACTAGTGTTATTTTTAAATAATACCTGATCATATGTCTTGGCTAATTAAGTAAACGACAAAATTTGACGGAGGGGGTTATTCTAAGGACATTTAGTCCTTTGGAAACACGTTAATTTATAGATGAGTATAAATTCACATTAAAGTTTAATTAAAATTATTAGATATTAACCTCTATCGTGTACAAAGAATAAATTTCTTCAACGTATTTAGTAGTTTTCGATATCAACAATAGCCTGTCGTTCTTAGTAATCGAAATTATTGTTAAATGATAAAATAACATTAGTAAATTAGTTTCGTCGAAACAAAGAGCTTTTCTAAAAACCTTCCTAGAAAATAACCCTTTAAAGCTGTGTCACATGTTTAATATACACCCTGTATATTTGAACACACGTGCCAATTCCTTTATTAACCAAATTATTTATAGAGAAACGTGTCTGAATCTAATAAAGCAAAGTCGGCATGACAATTTCACGTAGATTTTATTATGAGCACATTCATTACACAAACTGAAAGCACTTGAGATTTATATGTTATCTATAAATAGACTAGAGATGATTAATTTTCTTTGAGCGGTTCTTTTTTCCAGAATTCAATATTGCCGCAAACTATTTTTGTAAATTCAATTTGTCTGGAGGCAGTAATAACGAAAAGCGACAAGAAAAACTAATCTACGAATATTAATCCAATGATAATAAAGTTTAACTTAATAGTAATCAATTCCTTGCGTTATTTATTTATGCAGATAATTGGAAAATTGTAATTTAATTCGTTACCTATCTACTTGATTATATACTTGCAATATTTTACATTCTATCATGTTCATATTTATAAATATTACTGTGTTATTGCTACAGCTAGTTTACTAAACCTATTAAGTATATTTTCTACTTATCTAGACATAAACTATATATAATAAGGTTTTTTTAAAAACCAGAAAACAATATTCGTATGTTTTACTAAACTATAGCCATGAAAAAGAAATATTTGTAAAAAGCATTAATTTTAATAATATAAAAAATAACAGTTGAATAGAAGAGAACAATCCCTCGTATTTGTTATACTTGTTTCTGATAGCATGAAAAATAATAAATGAATTCATACAACAGCATTTGAAAATTTCTTTTAAAAGCGGTAAAATTAATTGAAAATAAAACAATTATTGTGGTTCCGAAAAAGAGAAATAAAAATATTGGCACAACTATAATAAGTTATCACAGGCATTCGCACATTTGACTTTAATTGTAGTCAGTCACAGGGGATTAACGGAGTAACAGCCTAATTTACATACTAATTGCCAATACAAAACTTAATTAGAATTTAAAAAGAATTAAATGAACATTAATTACGTTATTGATGAGACAGTTAACTATGAAAATATCCGATCTAGGTAAGTAATTAATTCAAGGTTAAGTAAGGAAGATTTTTATTATAAAATTTAAAATTGAACAAACATGTAGCGATAAACACTACTGACTTTAATTATTAATGTTAAACAGTAATCTTAAGTAAGTATAAAACTTTTCTTTATGATCTGAGACATCAAACAAATCTCTATCTCATCCACCGATCCAAACACTTTACAGAGAGACATTAGATGTCTAGTAAATGTTTAAAATTAATTATTAGATCAGAAATAGTTTCGGTGTAAAACGTTTTGTAAGATATTTATATAGCAGACCATCGTCTTTGAATAATAATAGTCTGGCCAGTGATATAATCCTAATTACCTATCGCAATTGTGTGAATATGGGTTCATGTAATCTTAACACTATTCCGTTACTTACGCCTTCCAATTAGCCTGTGACTGCTTAAGGCGTGAAATTAGACAATCGTGGTATATTGCATTTCCAATGAGAAACCCCATTCAGGGGTAGATTGTTCGACAACCACTTAACTATTATTAGACAACGGCTAACCAGGGATCATTGGTTCAGATTACTGGGATGCCTAATATACTTAATTTTTAAAAGAATACGTAAATGTATTCGTTAAGTAATTAAGTATTTGGTAATTAAATTTCAGAAACAACCATCTCTCTATTTTCTGTGCCATTTCCTTTATGACTACCGCCATCTGGTATTCAGAGAATAAAGCAACTTAGGGCTTAAATTGAGTTAATTGTTTTTTTGTTGATTTAATACTATCTACAGAGCGTGTACTAGGGGGAGTTTCTAATGATAATTAAACTTCTATCCGAAAGATAAACTGAATATAGTTTTGCGGTTTGAACACCGATAAAAAATAGAAGTATTTTTTTCGCTGTAGCGGTAAATAATAGAGAGGGTTTTTCAAAATTAACGACAGGATAATATGTTATTTTAAATTTAACACGTAAGAGTAAATGTGGTAATTAGCGCCTGCTCTACTGAATAATTAAGACGCGAGCAGGGTGAAAATTTAATTGCGCCCCTTGACAAGCTTTTCTCATAAATTTTGTCTACAATTAAGGCGGTACATCGAGAACGGAGACACCTTTAATAGAATTTCTAAACGACTCACGAACCAAGTCAAAAACATATACAATTAATACCGTCCTAAGAATTTATTAAAGCCACTCAGGTGACTATACAGGGCACACGTTAACGTTAGCTAGTCTGAAATATTGACTGCCTTGCGGGTTAGTCGTGAACGTTTTGCTACACCGGTAGATAAATAAATAATTGACGTGCACATTAATTATTTTTATACTTACTGTAGATTATTCTTCCTCGGCAAGCATTTCCAAATCGAGCGATAAGTGTAAGGATACCCAAAATGACTACGATAGCTTGATCGAAATTCATAATGTACTGGATCATATGTCTTGGCTAATTAAGTAAACGACAAAATTTGACGGAGGGGGTTATTCTAAGGACATTTAGTCCTTTGGAAACACGTTAATTTATAGTTGAGTATAAATTCACATTAAAGTTTAATTAAAATTATTAGATATTAACCTCTATCGTGTACAAAGAATAAATTTCTTCAACGTATTTAGTAGTTTTCGATATCAACAATAGCCTGTCGTTCTTAGTAATCGAAATTATTGTTAAATGATAAAATAACATTAGTAAATTAGTTTCGTCGAAACAAAGAGCTTTTCTAAAAACCTTCCTAGAAAATAACCCTTTAAAGCTGTGTCACATGTTTAATATACACCCTGTATATTTGAACACACGTGCCAATTCCTTTATTAACCAAATTATTTATAGAGAAACGTGTCTGAATCTAATAAAGCAAAGTCGGCATGACAATTTCACGTAGATTTTATTATGAGCACATTCATTACACAAACTGAAAGCACTTGAGATTTATATGTTATCTATAAATAGACTAGAGATGATTAATTTTCTTTGAGCGGTTCTTTTTTCCAGAATTCAATATTGCCGCAAACTATTTTTGTAAATTCAATTTGTCTGGAGGCAGTAATAACGAAAAGCGACAAGAAAAACTAATCTACGAATATTAATCCAATGATAATAAAGTTTAACTTAATAGTAATCAATTCCTTGCGTTATTTATTTATGCAGATAATTGGAAAATTGTAATTTAATTCGTTACCTATCTACTTGATTATATACTTGCAATATTTTACATTCTATCATGTTCATATTTATAAATATTACTGTGTTATTGCTACAGCTAGTTTACTAAACCTATTAAGTATATTTTCTACTTATCTAGACATAAACTATATATAATAAGGTTTTTTTAAAAACCAGAAAACAATATTCGTATGTTTTACTAAACTATAGCCATGAAAAAGAAATATTTGTAAAAAGCATTAATTTTAATAATATAAAAAATAACAGTTGAATAGAAGAGAACAATCCCTCGTATTTGTTATACTTGTTTCTGATAGCATGAAAAATAATAAATGAATTCATACAACAGCATTTGAAAATTTCTTTTAAAAGCGGTAAAATTAATTGAAAATAAAACAATTATTGTGGTTCCGAAAAAGAGAAATAAAAATATTGGCACAACTATAATAAGTTATCACAGGCATTCGCACATTTGACTTTAATTGTAGTCAGTCACAGGGGATAAATATGAACATNAAGATCAGGAGTGTCTTTATATTAGCAAGATCAAGACCAAGGTCAGGACTGTCTTTATACTACCAAGATCAGGAGTGTCTTTATATTAGCAAGATCAAGACCAAGGTCAGGACTGTCTTTATACTACCAAGATCAGGAGTGTCTTTATATTAGCAAGATCAAGACCAAGGTCAGGACTGTCTTTATACTACCAAGATCAGGAGTGTCTTTATATTAGCAAGATCAAGACCAAGGTCAGGACTGTCTTTATACTACCAAGATCAGGAGTGTCTTTATATTAGCAAGATCAAGACCAAGGTCAGGACTGTCTTTATACTACCAAGATCAGGAGTGTCTTTATATTAGCAAGATCAAGACCAAGGTCAGGACTGTCTTTATACTACCAAGATCAGGAGTGTCTTTATATTAGCAAGATCAAGACCAAGGTCAGGACTGTCTTTATACTACCAAGATCAGGAGTGTCTTTATATTAGCAAGATCAAGACCAAGGTCAGGACTGTCTTTATACTACCAAGATCAGGAGTGTCTTTATATTAGCAAGATCAAGACCAAGGTCAGGACTGTCTTTATACTACCAAGATCAGGAGTGTCTTTATATTAGCAAGATCAAGACCAAGGTCAGGACTGTCTTTATACTACCAAGATCAGGAGTGTCTTTATATTAGCAAGATCAAGACCAAGGTCAGGACTGTCTTTATACTACCAAGATCAGGAGTGTCTTTATATTAGCAAGATCAAGACCAAGGTCAGGACTGTCTTTATACTACCAAGATCAGGAGTGTCTTTATATTAGCAAGATCAAGACCAAGGTCAGGACTGTCTTTATACTACCAAGATCAGGAGTGTCTTTATATTAGCAAGATCAAGGCCAAGGTCAGGACTGTCTTTATACTACCAAGATCAAAACCAAGACCGGACGAACAAAAACAAGTCTAAAACTAAGACCGAAGTTAGAAGTATTTGAGCAAGACCAAAGTCAAGACCGAATATGCAAAACCAAGACCAGTCTTGCCTTGTTCATCACTAATTTAAGTGAACAACCTAGAACTCCAGTTAAAACTTTAGCAGTTACTTTAAGCAAACCTACTGATGCTGGCCTAATACTAAGCCAAGTGTTAAGCACTTTTCAGTACCTGACTAAATGACTCGGTACTTTTAAGTATCGTATTGTTGAGCAGTTTAGATAGCATTATTTAGTAACGAATCTAGTAGTCTAGATAGCAGTACTTTAACATTAAGTTCAGTTCACTCTGAATATAGTTTTGCGGTTTGAACACCGATAAAAAATAGAAGTATTTTTTTCGCTGTAGCGGTAAATAATAGAGAGGGTTTTTCAAAATTAACGACAGGATAATATGTTATTTTAAATTTAACACGTAAGAGTAAATGTGGTAATTAGCGCCTGCTCTACTGAATAATTAAGACGCGAGCAGGGTGAAAATTTAATTGCGCCCCTTGACAAGCTTTTCTCATAAATTTTGTCTACAATTAAGGCGGTACATCGAGAACGGAGACACCTTTAATAGAATTTCTAAACGACTCACGAACCAAGTCAAAAACATATACAATTAATACCGTCCTAAGAATTTATTAAAGCCACTCAGGTGACTATACAGGGCACACGTTAACGTTAGCTAGTCTGAAATATTGACTGCCTTGCGGGTTAGTCGTGAACGTTTTGCTACACCGGTAGATAAATAAATAATTGACGTGCACATTAATTATTTTTATACTTACTGTAGATTATTCTTCCTCGGCAAGCATTTCCAAATCGAGCGATAAGTGTAAGGATACCCAAAATGACTACGATAGCTTGATCGAAATTCATAATGTACTGGAACAAAAAAAAATTGAAAATATTGTATTAATTATACAACAATAAGAAGAAATGTTTTCGTAAAGTCACTTATAAACAAATTAAAGATCGATTTAACCTTTTTTAATAACTTTTTTTGTAAAATTTTATTCGACATTTAGGCAGTTAAAAAGAAACTTGCAAATTACAACCCTAGAAAAAAAACATTTTTGCCTTGTAGTCATAACTATTACTCTCATAAATAGTATTGTGTCATAGGCCTGCAGTTGGAATCTTAGACGTTTTTGTTTAACCGAAATTCTGAATTAAAAGTTGAAATATTTCATTTGAAAAAAATTGGCGGCTCTAAATGTCTCCACTCGGGTGTATAATTGGTTGCATGTAAACAGATCATGAAAATGTCGCCAAAGTTAGAATGTAAGTGCTCTGGGTCACGAAGATCGGATACCAGAATTTTTTTGTTTTGTATCATAGGCCTGCACTTGGAATTTAAGACGGTTTTGTTTAACCGAAATTTTCAATGAAAAGTTAAGAATATTCCATTTGTAAAAAAATGGGCGGTTTTAAATGTCTCCACTCGGGTGTATAATTGGTTGCATAAACAGATCATGAAAATGTCGCCAAGTTAAAATGTAAATGCTGTCGGTCACGAATAACGGATACCAGTATCCAAATTTGGACGGACTCAGCTAGTTTGGAAATAATATGGTCAAAAGCTAGCGCACGTTTATTTATTTGTACCAAATCGCCTCTAAATTGCACAAGCTTCAGCAACTTTTTATTAAATAATTGCGAACGATTGCAATATCGGCGACCGGATAGTTCGTGCGTCTCGTAGCGTCGCATCGCGTCGCTCGCAACGTCGTTAACGTCTGCCTGTCCTGTTTCGATAGCTATCACCCACACATACATATAGGTTCGTGTAGGTACTAACTTCCTATACACAGATGGGTACGGGTGTGCACTTTCGAAATGAATCCACCGACCGTAGAGATATCGCTGTTGGATTCAATTTTCGCAACGTAACATGGTTAAGAGACAAAATCGTGCCGGGAATATCGACTTTGGAACTCATAAAGCCTAGATTCCCAAGTAGCTTTATACGATGGAACGGCGTCGTTGTTGACGATGTCGTCGCTGTCGTCGCGACGACCATAAAAGAAATTGTGTAACGGCGCCGTCCCCGTCTACTCGCGATCCTCTTCACAAAACTGCTTTCAGATGACCCAAGTGCCAAGCGGACACCCCAAGAACTTTCTTTAACCCAAACATATACATATACTTCCTCTATTGTTCTAAAGTTCGCTGTATGTATCATTCAGTCATTTGTAAGTCTTTTTTGCAGTCTCGAAGTATCAAAGAAATATACTAATGGTATTTCTAATAAGTCCTTACGCTAGACTTAACGTTAGCTTAACATTATAAGCCTACAAAAACTTTGTAGCATCATAAGGTTGGTAATTGGTCTTGGGCTTGCAGTCTTGGTCTTGTTCTTAAGACCAAGATCACGACTGTCTTTATACTACCAAGATCAGGAGTGTCTTTATATTAGCAAGATCAAGACCAAGGTCAGGACTGTCTTTATACTACCAAGATCAGGAGTGTCTTTATATTAGCAAGATCAAGACCAAGGTCAGGACTGTCTTTATACTACCAAGATCAGGAGTGTCTTTATATTAGCAAGATCAAGGCCAAGGTCAGGACTGTCTTTATACTACCAAGATCAAAACCAAGACCGGACGAACAAAAACAAGTCTAAAACTAAGACCGAAGTTAGAAGTATTTGAGCAAGACCAAAGTCAAGACCGAATATGCAAAACCAAGACCAGTCTTGCCTTGTTCATCACTAATTTAAGTGAACAACCTAGAACTCCAGTTAAAACTTTAGCAGTTACTTTAAGCAAACCTACTGATGCTGGCCTAATACTAAGCCAAGTGTTAAGCACTTTTCAGTACCTGACTAAATGACTCGGTACTTTTAAGTATCGTATTGTTGAGCAGTTTAGATAGCATTATTTAGTAACGAATCTAGTAGTCTAGATAGCAGTACTTTAACATTAAGTTCAGTTCACTGCTAATCTGCCTAAATGTGATACGTTTGTTTAGTACTTTGAAATTGTGACCACAGCCGCTTCAATGAAACTTTATATGTATATAAGGAAAATTTTCATTTATATAATGTGATGTAGGTGAAAATCTTTTTAATTTTGTAGCATTTTAGTGGAAAAATACTCTTGGGATACAAATAACACGTGTTCTTCTTAGCCTGTTATTTATTTTATTAATTCTAAAGAGGCATCTTTGCAAAGATTAAATTGAATTGTATAAAATTAATTCAATAACATTAACGTTTCTTGTCAGTCAATCTGTTAATGGTAATTTATGCACATTTATGTTAATTTAATAGATAATAGTAAGCCTACTATTTTACCAATACTGTTCACAATCGCACGTGGCCTTGAGAGTAGGTGCCATTGGAAAAAAATTGAAATATTTTTTTGTAAAAATGTATTAATACTACTAGTGATTTTTCCTTTCAGTTTGTCATGTAGGCCCCTTCGTTAGCGCCTTTTTAAACGTATGAAATGGTATAGTTAGCAGTAAATATCTTTAAATGGCGCTATACCGCCTGTACGTTAATGTTATGCCAATAAAAGTAAATTAATTCATCTTTTGGTGGAAATTTAAAAAAATATAAGTTAGATATACGCAAATAAAATATTCCAAAAATAAGATATAAAAAAGTGCGTATGAAATCGGAAAATTTTCTACTTGATTTATGGCCTTTGATTTAATTATGTATTTTTTAATTAAGCAAATTCAAAGCTAGAAGGGTTATTAAACTTGTTTTTAATTTGATGTTTTCTCAGTATTGTCGGTTAAAATATATATGTAACAGGCTGAATGCCATTAATTATTCCTTTTTTTCTCAAATAAGTATAATTGGCGAATAACTGCTATGAGTAAAAATAGAATTGAAAGTGAGATTTCTATCTTTAAATAAATATTGTCGCTTTTTTATTTATTTGGTAGCTTACTCAGTTTTATTTTCCATCTCTTGTAAAGGAACAGTTATTAATCAATGTGCCTTTTTTTGCCAACAGGTGATTTTTAGTCACCATCTGATTATGTATGATATTTCTTTCAAAATTATGTATAAAATTGCTAATTTATTCGTTAGATCAAAATCTAATAGGTACCACCATCTATATACGATATAATTTGCTGGTTTGAATTTTATGCTGTTCGAAGAATTTTATGGGACATGACATCCAAAAATCTTGAAGATTACAAATGTTAAAAGTTCACCACTAATAGGAGAAGAAATTTAATTGATAATATCTCACATTTGGTTTTTCTTTAATTAAAATTGTAGTTCAGGTTTAATAACGGTATTGGAAATGGGATGTAGTTCAATAAAATTTAGGTAAATTTGCCTAATCTATTGAATATGGATTTCGGTAATTATTTACATGATTTATTGATGCCTATAGTCCAATCTTCTATTTCAATTTATTATTTCGTGTAAAAATGTATAATTTTCAAGGGTACGACTGATTAAATATGGTATTCACGCACTAAACGTCATATAAACATATCTACAATATTCTAATATGTACATACTTATCGTTTCAATATTCTTTACATTTACATTTTTATCAGTTAGATATATTGTATGTGGAAATTAACGCAAAAAAGAATTAATTATTTTCTGTAGGTAATCTATAGTTTTTAATACAATATGGAATAATAGTATGTAGCCCTTAGTTGTGAATTTTTCTTCTGTAGAAGCAGTTTTTGTTAAGTTTTCCCAATTTTCATTACTCTTATTCGCTTAATTTAAACTTAAACTTACAATTGCACACAAACCCCACCAAACTATCCAGCTAGACTATTACTTATATTTACCATTTTTGCTTACCTTGATTTTCCAAAAAAAAAATGCACTAGTTTTCACTCTTGTCTCAAGGAGAAGCCGTTTAAGCTGTTTTCCGAATTTTCGGCCGTAACAGTAGCAAAGATCTTAAATGAACTTTCACGGATGTGGATCTGGATGTGAGGAAATCCAACGAAAACTACTACCGTTACGGGTGCTTAACAACGGACAAGACGCCAAACCGTCTGAATGAGTAGCCGAGTTAAGTCCACTCTGGGGACTTTGTGGACGCCGATTTTTATATGTATGCCACAGTAGACGGCCGGCAATCGTCCCCAAGGTCAATAATCTTCACTGGACGATTATTGTCGCCAGTAGCGGATCATGATAACGTTTAAATTGCAATCCAAAATCTAAGTATACATGCGTATGTATAGGGACGGTGTATCACGATCATTAAATGGGCGATGCCTCTTCAATGGTGCCTAAATTTTGTTGGCTAAATGTGATCGTCAGCAGGGAGGAGTTAGATATGGTTTTAAATAATATGAAAGCGATATTGACAAAACAGTACTGTATGATAATAAATAAAAGTAAAACAAAAATATTGATTTGAACGGGAAGGAAAAGTAGGGAATGAGCGAATATAAAGATAGGAGACGAAAAATTAGAAGAAGTGACCGATTTTAGGGATCTAGGAAGTCAGATAAGTCAAGAGGGAAGGAGTGGTAGGGATATAAAGCAAAGGATAGCGCAGGGTCGAGTCGCTTTCAGTAAAAAGAAGTTACTTCTAAGGTTGTTAAAGGTGCATGTTTGGAGCGCGGCGCTGTACGGATGCGAAACATAGACAGTAGACGCGGCGGAAAAGAAAAGGTTAGATGCGTTCGAAAGGTGGTGTTACAGGCGAATGATGAGGATACCGTGGATAGAGAAGGTTAGAAATGAAGAGGCATTAAAAAGAGTAAGAGAACAGAGGACTTTATGGACATATTAGAGGCAGAAAGGGAAGTTAGAAGGGGTAGAGGTAGACTAGATTAGATTAGTGTTCGCAAATAGTTAAGGATATGGGTTGTTCTAGCTTTAAGGAAATGCGAAGATTAACTTAGGATAGGATAGAGTGGAGATGCGTGTCCAACAAGTCTTAGGCATCAAGTTTTGCTTAATATCCTTGCCATGTTAGTTGCTTCGCTAACCGTTCAAGATCTTCTGTTCAAGATCAATTCTACCATACCAATATTCTTTTTCAATTTTGTTGAATTAAATACAAGAGGCGGCAGCTTAAGTTAATTCTGTTTATTCCGTAAAATAATTTGATATACATATACTTAAAATTAACTGAATTACTTTAGGAAAGAACCTTGTTCCGCCGCTGGTATCAATTACCGTGTTCAGCAACAGGTGCAGCAGTGTTGTTTTGTTCCTATTCTTTTGTTTTATTGTTGTTCTCTGTCTTTTTTTTTGCATTTAAGCGATGCAATGCATTCTGTAAACTGTCATCGGATCATGGCTTAAGAGGTAATGAATGCATTTATGACGTAAACAGGCCGGGGTGGGTATATCAGGAAGTGAAAATGCCTAAGGACAAGGACGGATGTGATATATTTAAAGGACTGTTAAAACAATCAATAAATAATAAGTAAATGTGCATATTTAGTCCAATATTAATCAAAAACGTGGGTTCAATTATATGAAATCAATGCCTGACGCATTTCCGACAGTATATGCAAGGGAAAGGGTAAATATAAAGATGGAAGGCGAAAAATTAGTGGCTGATTTTCAGGATCTAGGAAGTGAGATGGAAGGAGCAATAGAGATAATATAATATGAAGGGTAGCGCTGAGTCGAGTCGCCTTTAACAAAAGGGTGTAAAACATGGAAGGTGGGCGCAAGGGAAAAGAAAAAGTTAGAAACGTTTGAAATGTGGTGTTACAGAGATAGGTTGATAAGACATCTTCGCAGTCATGAACGTCTAGCATTGGAAGCAGGAACTGGAGTTAAGGGGTGCAGAAGTAGACCTAGATAAGATTACTGTTTATAAATACTTAGGAATATGGGATGTTCCAGTTTTAACTCAGGATATGAAAGAGTGGAGGTGCATGTCGAAGCAGTTTTACGACGGGTGATGATGTTGTTGATGAACAATATTTTCCCTAAACGTGAAATTTTCCAATCTTACTTTTTCTAATCAACAACAACACTCCTTTTCGCAATAATAGGTAGAAATAAGTTATTGCATTTATATGAGTTGATTTAATTATTATTGAAGCAATTGTTTAGAATTAATTAATTTTTCTTTTTTATCGCTTAAGCCAATAAATAACATTTATTTATATTATATTATAAGCCATATACGAGGGTGGATTGATAAGTTTCCGGCCTAACCAAGAGATGACGCCACTAGGCCTACCTTGAGGTGACATTCTATAGTACCATCCTTGGATAGCTTGTAGCTATAGTTTCAGCCCGATCTCCTTGCTAGTGTAGGTTTGACAGCACGCTGAACAAGACGCCTCTGTGGTTTTCGTAAAAATGGAAAAGCAGGAAAATCGTGCTGTCATCAAATACTTTTATTTGAAGGGGTTAACGCCGAAGGAAATTAAAAAAGAGATGGACTCAACACTGGGGACATCCTCCCCGTCATATTCAACCGTTAAGCAGTGGGTTTCCGAGTTTAAAAAGGGTCGTGTGAGCACCTCTGATGGGCCTCGCTCAGGACGCCCCGTTGAGGTCACAACTCCAGATATGATCGAAAAAATTCATCAAATAGTGCTGGGAGACCGCAGATTGAAAGTGCGTGAGATAGCTGAGACCTGTAAGATGTCATATGAACGTGTGCAACATATTTTGCACCAACATTTGCATATGGAAAAGCTCTGTGCAAGATGGGTGCCGCGTTTGCTAACAGTCGACCAAAAATTGATTCGAAAAAACATTTCTACCGCAAATTTGTCATTGTATAAGCGTAATCCAAGCGAATTTTTGCGTCGATTCGTAACCGTTGACGAAACGTGGGTCCACCACTACACTCCTGAAACCAAAGAACAGTCTAAACAGTGGATTGGACCAGGGGAACCAACTCCAAAGAAGGCAAAAACAATTTTTTCGGCGAACAAGGTTATGGCTACTGTTTTTTGGGATGCAAGAGGTATTATATACATTGATTACCTTGCAAAGGGTAATACTATCACTGGTCAATACTACGCAGACTTATTGCAACGTTTGAGCCACGAGGTGAAAATTAAACGACCTCATCTGGCGAAGAAAAAAATCTTGTTTCATCACGATAACGCACCAGCGCACACGTCAATCGTTGCGACGGCTAAAATCAACGATCTAAAGTTTGAATTGATGCCGCACCCTCCTTACTCTCCAGACCTAGCCCCGAGTGACTATTTTCTGTTCCCTAATCTCAAAAAATGGCTTGGCGGTAAGAGATTTGCGGACAATGAAGAAGTAATCGAAGCTGTAAATGGTTATTTTGAGGAGCTTGACGAATCAGTCTATAGAGATGGCATTAATAGACTGGAACACCGCTATGAGAAATGTATCAGCCTTGGAGGAGATTATGTTGAGAAATAAAAAAAAAAATTTTTAAAAACCTTGTTTTTCTTGGTCAGGCCGGAAACTTATCAATCCACCCTCGTATAATATTGCATAAACGTGTGTCTTTCAGATAATGAAACCGTTTTCTATATCACTCCCATCAAAGCCAAGGAAAAATATATATATCCATTGATGTTCCTATAATAATTATGATTTTATTAACGCGTAATTGATTATGTGTGTGGTTAAATATCATCGAAAGCCTCGAGGCTCAAGATGATTATAACAACTGGGATAGTGACTATTTATTTAACGCGTTGTTGTAATAATTGTTTTTGCGATTTTCTTTTTGATTACGTTGAGTCTTAAAAAATTATTCGAGTCGTAAAACGGTAGGTCAGACGCGCGATTATATGAATGTGAATATGTTGTCATTTTGCAGGAATGTGTGTAACAATCTAAAATAATAAAATTGATTTGTTTTTGTGGCTATTTTCAATAATAAACTTTGCATTTTTATTGGAGTTGACATGGCGCCAGTCCCGCTTTACTTCATTTGCAATAGACAATAAAATAAACCAAAAAAAAAACGGAAATTTAACAGACCATAGACAACGTGCTTCTTGATATTAGGTTTCGAATATAATTAATTGTATATAATTGAAAATCAACCAAGTAGACAATCAAAATACAGAAATGCAGAAAGCTTTCGCAGTTGAAATGATTTTTCCAGTTTTAATAGTGAAATTAACTCAATTTAAGGTGTAGTTTTCAGACAAGGGTTAACACTTCTTTTTGTTAATAAAACAGATAGGAATTTGTAAATATTTTAATGTAGTTTTCCTTGGTAACCGTCATTTCAGGTGTATCGGAACTAAGATGTCTACGATTATACGTATGTCATACCTACCGTTATAAAATTAATTTTTTTTAGTTTAAATTTAATGTTAAAACTAGAAATTATTGTAAAGGTGTGTTTCGGGCGATTTTTCAACTTTCGATCGTTGACCTTCGAATTGAGTGATGTTACGGAATGCTGACAGTGACTGAGATGTTATTAGTAATAATGATGTTTCAGAAAAAGTCTTCTCGGCGATTTTCAATGCTGTAAAGTTTTTCTGCTGACCTTAACCTTTAACTGTAACGTAGACCTCACATTGTATGCCATTTTAAACGCTATCTTTTAATTGGAAAGGATTTCCAAAAATTAAAATAAGGAATGCGTGCCATATAATCATTGCGGATTATAAAATAAAGGAGTGCTAATATTTTTTTTTTGGGTTTTGCCATGTTGGATGTTAAAAAAAAATAAGAAACCGCTAGGCTTACGTGATGTAAATTTGTAAATATAATCGTTTTGTAGTATCATAAAATAAATTAAACGATTTGGGCTTTTCTCAATAATTTTTGACCTTTTTTTATTAGTATATCGCCCATACAGTGTTGGTGGGTGGATAGCCTCAATAATGAAATTATAATAAGACTTCTAGTTTAAAACGTTCTTCTGAACATTTATACAGAAAAGTAAACATGAGAACAATATGAAAACAGGTGGGAAAATCGAAAGAAATTGCTAAGCATAAAGGAGAACACGGGTTCGATTTCGGGTTTGTCTGCTCTGATCCAAGTTTTTCTGTATTTTTCTTGGATTACTGAAGCAAATGCTGGAGCAGTGTAGTATTCCACAGATAGTTATTCACTCTCTTCTGTCACTCTTTCTCTTTCACTCATTTCGTCC